ATATCGACGCGATGCCAAGCTCTCAGGAGAGACCATAGTCGAATCGATAAGTCGGACCTGCGATCGAAATAAATCGGATGGGCGGAAATCGGCAGCCGAGTCGGGAGAAGTCGAATCTGCAGAAATCGGCCGGCTAGCGTGCCTCCAATAAGACATCGGATCCCAGACCTGAACCCCAGGTCGAACCGAATCTCGGCGGCGCGCACAAGGGGGTGGAGGGAAGGGGGAGGTCTTCTTAGAAGGAGGCTGCTTCTTAGAAGGCGCCGGCCTTACATCTATAGACAAGGCCCGCGCCTTCTGAGAAGCAGGGGTGCTTCTAAGAAGCCTTCCCCCCTCCCCCTACCCTCCTCTGCGCGTTGCCGATTTTCCCTCCTGTCCCTGCCTCCTCCCTCCCGCCTCGGTCCTCGGTCGTCGGCTGCACGCAAGAACGACCCTGGGCAAGAGAGACCTTTTGGTGCGCGGACTGGGGGGGTGCGCGTCCCGCCACCCCCCTGCGCGTGGCTGAGAACCGGCCTCGGACGCAGCCGAAAAACCGAACCGAAGCGACTCCGAAGGAACCGAAACGAGCCCTGAGGGCTCTGCGCGTGGCCGAGGCCGCACGCGTGAGAGGCGGCGGCGCCGGCGGCGGCGCCGGCGGCGCAAGGCGAGCCCGCCCGGGGGCTGGCGTTATGTCGGGCGTGTCCCCCTACAGGGAGATTTTCGACGAAAAATTAAAAATACCCCAAAAATACCCCAATAAGGTCCAAAAATATTCAAAAAATGGTCCCCAGACTATTTTTGGGGTGCCTTTAATTTTTCGTCGAAAATCCCCCTGTAGGGGGACAGGCCCGACTTAGGGCCGGCGCCTCCCGCAGTGCGGCCTCGCGGCCGGCGCCGACGGCCCGCGCCGGGTCGACGGCGAGAGGGTCGAGGATCGCGAGGTCCGTGCGGACGCCGATGAAGCCCAGCACCTGGCGAGAATCTTGGGCGCCCGAGTTATCCGGGGTAACTCGGGTCCGGGGTAACTCGGGTTTGGATTCCCGAAAAAGGAACCCGAGTTATCCCTGACCCGAGTTACCCCTGATGATTCGGGGCTCTGGACGCCCGAGTTATCCGGGGTAACTCGGGTCCGGGGTAACTCGGGTTTGGATTCCCGAAAAACGAACCCGAGTTATCCCTGACCCGAGTTACCCCTGATGATTCGGGGCTCTGAGAATCGGCGAGCGAGGGGGGGGAGATGAGACGGGGAGGGCCCTCTCGGTAGGCGGCGGGGCTTCTCAGAGGCTCTCGCGCCTTCTGAGAGGTGTTCTCCATCTTCGGGGAAGGCCCAAGAAACTTCTCAGAAGGCTGGGGCACTGCCGAGCCTTCTGAGAGGGCCTTCTCCTTCTCGCTCCCCCCCCTCGCTCGCCGCCGACTGGAGCCGTCCCCAGGCATCCGGCGTCTCGAAAGGATCGAGGCGACGGTCTGCGCAGTTGTCGGCCTCCCGGGGCCCTTGCCGGGCCCCTAGGCCGCCGAGGCACTGCTCGGGGCGGAAGAGCGGTCCTGGGGGAGGAGGTCGAGAGGTTGGGGGCCCGTGGCACGAAAAAATCGAGGGGCAGGATGTCTGGGTCGTGATCGCGGTGTTTGTGGCTGCGGTCGCGCCCTGATGCACTGCAGTTGCAACTTTTGCGCGCTGGGCGTTTCGCCAAGTTTCGGGCCCTGGAATCGTCAAAGACCGATCCAGCTCAAAAACTGCTGCAGAAAGATGGGGTCCAGGGCTCTGGTCGAGTTGGTTTACAACGTTGCAATTTGTTCGTGACGTCGGATCTCGGGGTGGTCGCGGTCGCGATAGTAGTCTGTTGGAATCGCCTTTTGTGGTTGCAGCCGTGGTCGTGGCCCTCGTGGTCGCTGTCGCTCTGGCCGTTTGCCCCCACGAACCAACGCAGAGATGATGAGAATTGCCAGCTTCTCCACTGAGGGAAAGGGGACTCCGCCATGCGATGCACAAGTCGTGGAGGAGAAGGAAAAGACGACGAAAGAGGTGACCAAGACGGAAGGAGAAAACGAGGGCGGAGGAAGAGCACTCAATGCGTTGGCATGTCCACAATCGCACCTCGTGCAGATGGCTCAGAACTGATCACTGGAGAAGTGTACCGCAGTGTTAGAAACCCATCAAGCCGTAGTAACAACGACAGTTGTCGCTTTAGCTGTGGACGTGGTCGTCGTCGTGGGCGTCGTCCTGGTCGTCGTTGCTAGACTCACTTCTGAAGAACAGTCATTGTTTTCCCTCCCACCAGAGTTCATTGTGTTCTTCAATTGAAATGCACACTTGAGCTGGCACCCGCTTTTTGCTGGTCAGGGAGTCCTCCAACTCAAATCCCACCAGCTCTCTGGGCGTGAGTGGTTTAGGGAATTTCCTCTTCCATATTCCCTCTTCCCCTTTGGGGAAGGGGGTACCCCTCACCTTACCCCCTCTCCCTGGGTTTGGAGGTGGCGTTCGGCGAGGCTTTGAAGCGTCCAAGATGGCCTCGGCGAGGAAGCCATGATCATTGATGCGACTAAGGTGTTGGACACATTTTGGCCTGAGGGTGGGGGGCGAAAGAAGTACGGCGCGTCCTTTGATCGATCTCCTCCAATATTGCCCCAAGATGGCCGCCGAGGCTCTGGAGGGTGCCCCCAGACGGCCCCAGCGGTGCCCCGGAGGACCCAAGGAGGCCCCATGCACAAGAGGCTCCAAAGAGACCCCCAGACGCCCCAAGATGCCCCCCAGAGGCACCCCAGACGCTCCAAGAGGCTTCCGCGACTGCCAAGAGACCTCCACGACGCCTCAAGATGCCTCCAAGAGGCCCCCGGCCTTTCTGCTCGCACTCCTCCTCTTCCTCCTCCTCCTCCTCCTCCTCCTCCTCCTCCTCCTCCTCCTCCTCCCCCTCCTCATCCTCCACTTTCGCCGCCTAATCGTACATCTTTTCGTTCACCCCTCATTCCTCTTCCTCCTCCCTCTCCTCCTCCTCCTCCTCCTCCTCCTCCTCCTCCTCCCTCCCTCCTCCTCCTCTCCTCCTCCTCCTCCTCCTCCTCCTCATCATCCTTCCCCTCTTCCTCCTCCTCCTCCTCCTCCTCCTCCTCCTCCTCGCCTCCTCCTCCTCCTCCTCCTCTTCCTCCTCCTCCTCCTCCTCTTCCCCGTCCTACTCCTCCTCAACGTCCTCCTCCACCTCCTCCGACTCAGCATCATCATCAGCATCAGCATCAGCATCAGCATCAGCATCACCATCTGCATCAGCAGCATCATCATCATCATCATCATCATCATCATCATCATCATCATCATCAGCAGCAGCAGCAGCAGCATAAGCATCAGCATCAGCATCAGCATCAGCATCAGCATCGGCATCATCATCATCATCATCATCATCATCATCATCATCAGCATCCTCATCTTCCCATCATCGTCATCATCATCAGCAATATCATAATCGTCATCATCAGCAGCATCAGCATCACCATCATCATCATCATCATCAGCAGCATCTACATCAACAGCATCATCATCATCATCATCATCATCATCATCATCATCATCCTCGTCATCATCAGCAGCAGCAGCAGCAGGCTCGACAGCATCAGCATCCTCCTCATCGCTGTCATCGTCATCATCATCACCATCAGCAGCATCATCATAATCGTCACCATCGTCATCGTCATCATCATAATCGTCATCATTATCATCATCATCATCGTCATCAGCAGCATCATCCTCATCATCTGCAGCCTCATCATCAGCATCATCATCCTAATCAGAAGCATCATGTTCAGCATCATCATCATCATCAGCATCATTACCATCATCAGCATCACCATCATCGTCATCATCGCCATCGTCATCATCATAATCGTCGTCATAATCATCATCATCATCATCATCAGCATCATCGTCATCAACAATAGCATCATCATGATCATCAGAATCATCATCAGCATCATCATCATAATCAGTATCATCAGCTTCAGCATCATCATTATCAGAAACATCAGCATCATCAGCATTATCAGCATCATCGTCAGATTTATCATCATCAGTACCAGCATCATGATCATCAGCATCATCAGCATCAGCACCAGCAGCATCCACATCGTCAACACCATAATCCTCCCCATCATCATCACCACCACCAAAAAGACCCCCACATCCCATCATCATCACCACAATCCCCATCGTCGTCGTCGCACCATCATCGTCATCACATCATGATCATTACCACCACCACCACCGTCGTCGTCATCATTATCATCAGCAGCATCGTCATCACCATCATCAGCATCGTCATCATCGTCATCATCATCAGCATCAGCATCAGCATCATCATCATCAACAGAAGCATCAGCATCATTAGCATCATCAGCATCAGCATCACCATCATCAGCATCATCAGCATCATCATCATACTTACCATCCACCCTTTCCTCATCATCTCCCTCTTCCATCATCCATCCTCCTCCTTCTCATCTTCTTCCTGTTCCTTCGCAGCCCCCGTGGCCTGACAGGGGAGTCCTTGGCTTACCGAATCCCACAAGCCCACTGGGCGTGAGTGGTTTAGGGAGTTCCCATTTCCGTCTTCTCTCTTTCCGTTTTGGAGCGTCCAAGATGGCCTCGGCGAGGCAGGAAAATCATTGATTGGAAGGTGTTGGCCACATGTTGTCGCCCACATACCATCACATGCCTGATGAGGACAACTCGCCTGGGCATCACTTCTGGATGGGCTGGTAGAGTTACGCGAACCGTCTAGAATGGTGTTGCTGGGCCCGCGGACTATAACGACAGCAACCCGCTCGTCGTTGCACGATTCTCACTCAACATGTTAGACCAAAAACTGTTAATACCCGCCCTACTGGTCCTCGATCGCACCGATCTTGGAAGCATCTTGATTCCTTACTCGCGGCCCCTGAATTCTGCCGACCCTCTCGGCGTGTGTGAGAGGGGCTTTTCCGTCTGAGCCGTCGGCGTCGCCGCTCCCCCCCCCTGTCCCTGCGCCCTCCTCCTCAAACGTTCCAGCCATAGGAAATCGAGCAACGTCGTAATCGAGTCGAAGGGCAGCCTCTTTCCTTGGATCCCTCCCTCGCTGGAGGGGGGGTCACGGGGTGGGTCCCCGGGGGGAGTCTAGGGGGGGGGTCCTGGGGCGGTCCCGGGGTGGGGTCCCAGGGGGAGTCCTGGGCGTTGTGACCACCGCTCCTGGGGGGAGTAACCCTCCCCGGAAGAAGCTTTCCCATTCGACTTCCTGCCTCTCAGAAGCCTCGAGCTCAGTTATACTGCGGCTTGCTCCAGGAGGGCCCTGACACAGCCCAGGATCGCTCCAAGACGGCACAAGATACCCTCAAGAGAGCTTCCCAAGACTCCCCAAGAGGGCTCCAAGAAGAGCCCCAAGAGGGCCCCAAGAGGCGAAGATCAACGATTCTATTTAAAGTATTGGTTGTTCGCGTCCTTGCCTTTCCGGGCTCCCGACGCTCCAACACGGCCCAGAAAGCCACCAAAATCGTCCCAAGAGGCTGCCGAAAGCGCCCGAAACAGCCCAGCCCAAGACGGCCCCAAGACAACCCAAGAGGCTCCCAAGACGGCCGCACAGGGCCCCCAAAGAGCCCCAAGAGGACCCCGAGAGGGAGAACATTAACCGACATGTTGAGGCTTCCGCCCCAGGAGGCCAAAAGAGGCCGCAAGAGGCGCCCGAGAAGCCCAAGAGAGCCCCAATAGCACTCCCAAGCCAACCCCAAGAAGGCAAAATTAATCATGTGCCAGAAGCGCTTCCATGTTTTGTTGTCTCTGCTGTCGTCATCGTCGGCCCCACCGGTCGTAGGAAATGATTGAACAACAACGACAGAGCGAGGAAGGGAGGAGACGAGAGGGGAGGGACAGGAGTGAGAGACAGGAGCAATGCAAACGACAGCCAGATAGCGGGAGGGAAGAGAAGCCCGAAAAATGTGAGGCCGACCCCGACGGAGGGTC